ACAGGGGGGGTCCCGCTGTCCCCGCTGTCCCCGCTGTCCTCGGAGTCGTCCCCGTCCCGCAGCATCCTCCGGACCGTGCGGGACAGGTTCATGGGGTCACACCTGGGGAGGGGGCGGGGAGGGGGGCAGTGAGACCCCCCAGCACCCCGGAAACCCCACAGAGACCCCATAAACCCCATAGAGACCCCATAGAGATCCCCAATATCACAGAGACCCCATAGAGACCCCATAGAGACCCCATAGAGACCCCATAGAGACCCCCAATACCCAGAGACCCCATAGAGACCTCACAGAGACCCCACAGAGACCTCACAGAGACCCCATAGAGACCCCACAGAGACCCCATAGAGACCCCCAATACCCAGAGACCCCATAGAGACCCCCAGTATCCCATAGATATCCCCAATACCCAGAAACCCCACAGAGACCCCATAGAGACCCCATAAACCCCATAGAGACCCCACAGAGACCCCCAATATCCCAGAGACCCCATAGAGACCCCACAGAGACCCCTCAGAGACCCCTCAGAGACCCCATAGAGACCCCATAAACCCCATAGAGACCCTCAATACCCAGAGACCCCATAGAGACCCCACAGAGACCCCATAAACCCCATAGAGACCTCCAATATCCCAGAGACCCCATAGAGACCCCATAGAGACCCTCAACAACCCAAAGAGACCCCCAGCACCCCATAAACCCCATAGAGACCTCCAATATCCCAGAGACCCCATAGAGACCCCATAGAGACCCCCAGTATCCCATAGAGACCCCCAGCACCCCAGAAATCCCACAGAGACCCCCCAGCCCCCTACACACCCCACAGAACCCCTATACGGGTTCTATGGGATCTATAGGGGTTCCATAGGGTCCATAGGGATTCTATAGGGTCCATGGGGGTTCCATAGGGTCTATATGGGTTCTATGGGGTCTACAGGGGTTCCATAGGGTCTATAGAGGTTCCATAGGGTTTTTATGGGTTTTATGGCTTCTATATGGGTTCTATGGGATCCATAGGGGTTCCATAGGGTCTATAGGGGTTCCATAGGGTTTTTATAGGTTCTATGGGTTCTATATGGGTTCTATGGGATCCATAGGGATTCCATAGGGTTCATAGGGATTCCATAGGGTCCATAGGGATTCCATAGGATCCATAGGGATTCCATAGGGTCCATAGGGGTTCTATGGGATCCATAGGGGTTCTATGGGATCCATAAGGGTTCCATAGGGTCCAAAGGGTCTATATGGGTTCCATAGGATCCATAGGGGTTCCATAGGGTCTATGGGCGTTCCATAGGGTTCATAGGGATTCCATAGGGTCTGTAGGGGTTCCATAGGATCTATAGGGGCTCCATAGGGTCCATGGGGTCCGTCCCCACCTGAGGCGTGCCCTGAGCACGGCCACGTGTCTCGCGGTGGCCGCGGCCCCGTCCCCGATGTCCTCGNACCCCCAATATCCCATAGACACCCCCAATATCCCATAAACCCCATAGAGACCCAAAAACCCCATAGAGACCCCCAATATCCCATAGATACCCCATAGAGACCCCACAGAGACCCCCAATATCCTATAGACACCCCCAGCACCCCATAAACCCTATGGAGACCCCCAATATCCCACAGAGACCCCCAGAACCCCAGAAACCCCACAGAAACCCTATACGGGTTCTATGGGATCCATAGGGGTTCCATAGGATCCATAGGGGTTCTATGGGATCTATACAGGTTCCATAGGGTCTATAGGAGTTCTGTAGGGTCCATGGGGGTTCCATAACGTCTATATGGGTTCCATGGGATCCTTAGGGATTCCATAGGGTCTGTAGGGGTTCCATAGGATCTATAGGGGCTCCATAGGGTCTACAGGGGTTCCATAGGGTTCATAGGGGTTCCATAGGGTCCATAGGGGTTCTATGGGATCTATACAGGTTCCATAGGGTCTATAGGAGTTCTGTAGGGTCCATGGGGGTTCCATAGGGTCTATATGGGTTCTATGGGGTCTACAGGGGTTCCATAGGGTCTATAGAGGTTCCATAGGGTTTTTATAGGTTCTATGGGTTCTATATGGGTTCTATGGAATCCATAGGAGTTCTACGGGATCCATAGGGGTTCCATAGGATCCACAGGGGTTCCATAGGGTCCATAGGGTCTACATGGGTTCTATGGGATCTATAGGGGTTCTATGGGATCCATAGGGGTTCCATAGGGTCTATAAGGGTTCCATAGGGTTCATAGGGGTTCCATAGGATCCATAGGGGTTCCATAGGGTCTATAGGGGTTCCATAGGATCCATAGGGGTTCCATAGGGTCTATATGGGTTCTATGGGATCCATAAGGGTTCCATAGGGTCCAAAGGGTCTATATGGGTTCCATAGGATCTATAGGGGCTCCATAGGGTCCATAGGGTCTATATGGGTTTTATGGGATCTATATGGGTTCTATGGGATCCATAAGGGTTCCATAGGATCCATAGGGGTTCCATAGGGTCCATAGGGTCTATATGGGTTTTATGGGATCTATAGGGGTTCCATAGGGTCCATGGGGTCCGTCCCCACCTGAGGCGTGCCCTGAGCACGGCCACGTGTCTCGCGGTGGCCGCGGCCCCGTCCCCGATGTCCTCG